TTCACATTGAAACTTCACTATACCAAAGATGGATATGATTTATAAAAGGATCCAACTGAAACACATCAGGGAACTAGTTAATCTTTCATACAACCACTAGTTAGAGTTCTTCCTTTCATTTTTTCTGCCTTCAAATGCACAATTTCTAACGATGTAGGACAGAGAAAAAAGTAGAATGGATGAATACACAAAATACTTTACATTTAGTTTATTTCAGCTTAGGAACCCAGATGATACTGTGTGTGCTACTGGTGAATTTTCTTACTAAAGCTGTGTCTTGCTGAAGGAATGCCACTGAGGCTTGGACACTGTGTGTCCCTGCTGTCTTTGATTTGGAAAAGGCTGCTGAAAATAAGCACCAGTCTGATAAGATAACCTTATTAATTGAGCATAGTATGAGCACCAGCTGTCCAAGCACACTATAAAGCAGAAGGGAGGGACTTCCTCTGCAAAAGCACAACAGCCTCTTGGCAATTCTGTAGCCAAAGTTCAAAGCTCAAGATCTTTAGTAATTATAGCAAAAAGCTACAAGTCAGTGGACAGTAAGCAAACAGATGAGCAGACTCCTTTTTCAACCGACTGGAATTAGCAAAATGCCTATCTGGTTTACTTAGGTTTGTTTTTCTACAATTGGATTGTAAACTCCATAGGGAGCCAGGGCCAGGCAGTGTCTATCATGGTGTCAGTCTCTGGGTCTGGTGTGGTGCTTCCCACAGTGGGCTGCTTGCACTGTGGAGCGAACGTGTGCCTTGCCTGGGTGCTCTCTCCTGACAGTGCTTCGAGCTCTCTGATGACAGCCGACACGGGCAGGTAAAGCGGGCGCCTTGAGTGCCCAGTCAAGAGTCCCAAGTATGGACGTTCAAGACCTGTGTCCTCTTCCTTCACAGCCTTTGTTCACAATGAAATGTTTACCTCTGTTCTTGGGGGTTTGTACATCCTCTCTCCCTGCTGAGAAATGTCAGGACAAACAATTCAGCAGTGTGTATTCAAAATGACAATACAGATGGGGCGTGGTGGCTCACACCTGTAACCCCAGCACTTTGGAAGACTGAGGCAGGAGAATTGCTTCAGGCCAACAGTTTGACACCAGCCTGGGCAACATAGTGAGACCCCATTTCAATAGTAATTTTTAAAATTTGGGCCGGGCTTGGTGGCTCACACCTGTAATCCCAGCACTTTGGGAGGCCGAGGCAGATGGATCACCTGAGGTCAGGAGTGCAAGACCAGTCTGGCTAACGTGGTGAAACACTGTCTCTACTAAAAATACAAAAAAAAAAGAAAAAAAATTGGCCAGGCATGATGGCGCACACCTGTAATACTAGCTACTTGGGAGGCTGAGACAGGAGAATCGCTTGAACCCAGGAGGCGAAATCTTGCTGTGAGCCAAGATTGTGCCAACTGCACAATCTCTGGGTGACAGAGTGAGACTCTGTCTCTAAAAAATGTAAATAAAAATAATTTTTTGTTAATTTAAAAACATTTTAAATGAAAATGCAGGGAAAGATGTAAACCAAAGCATGCTGGGCATGTGGGGCTTCTTTCTAGAGATGAGAACATGCTTCTGCCCTTTAATGATATTCAGTACAAATAGGTAGATAAGACATACACAGAAAAAGAAAAATGGACAAGGCGTAACCAGATGTAAAAAAAAAAAAAAAATCAAGAACACTTAAGATCAAGACTATTTAAACGCATTATGTTATTTTATACCTCAACTTTTAAAAAGGATTAAATTACAATATTAGGCAGCATGCCATGCTCATCAAATCGTGAAACAGAAAGTGCCGGAAGAAAGGGTGGTTATGCTGTGTCATGGCTGTTAGAAGTGGCTTCCTGGAGTTGGCAGGGTTTAATCTCAGGTTTCAAAGGGGGAGAAAAGCAGGAATGACGTGGGATCTGAGAAGCCAAAAACTACAGGGAGTTTTGACTGAGTGCAGCGTTCATTTGATGTAAAAGAGTGTGAAGGGGAGACTGGACAGATTGCAAAGGGCTCGAGGCCAGATTAAAAGTGTGGACTTCACCCTGCGGAAAGGAGGAAGCACGGGAGTCATGAGAAATGATGGTTCAGGCAGAGATTAGAGCATAAAGCAGAGAGGCAGGGAGGCAGGGAAGGCCAAGAGGAACACCGTCTTGGATGATGAGTCACCACGAATCTCTGATCACCTGGGACGTGGTTCCGCTGCACAGGCTGACCCAGTGGGTCTGCAGATGACGCGGATATGCTGCGAGTCTGGGAACCCCTTTTAAGGAGCAAGGATCTTAACTCTGCCTATTACCACTGCCTGGTTATTAGTCACCATATGAGTAATGTTTTTCTCCACCAGTACAAGCTCCTGGTCTCCAGTGATCCTGCTGCCTCAGCCTCCTAAGTACCTGGGATCCATCTGTATTTTTATATCTTGTAGATAAGTATCATGAATCAAATTTCATTAACATTGGGAAAGTTTTTTACTTGACAGATTTCCAATTGTATTTGTTCGCAAAAAAAATAATTTTAAATACATGGAAATGTAGTTGGTACTTTTTTCCTCCGATCCAGTAGTTTAATTACGAAGGCATTTAACAGAATAGTTTTCGTCTTTTCATGCCTCTCCTTCTTCCCTTTTCATGATCAATTCCATGGCCATAAGAATTTTTTGACGCCAACCACAGATGGGATGTAAACAGTGAGTTGTTATTTTTGCTAATATCAAACAGATGGGCTACCTAAATGAAAATAAAAACATTTCTGCAAACAGGAATGTCCTCAGCAGTCACAGGAAAAAAATTTTTAAATTAAAGTAAATTTCTTTTTAACTACTTTTTGTAGCGTCTGTAATGCAAGAGTTTTTTTTTAAATGGTAATTTGGTATAGTTTTGCAACTCTGTATCTAATGTTGGAGTGAGTAGTCTGCAGGGGAGATTTTTTGATCTGCTTAATTTTTCTGCTTAGCATGCAGTGGCATATTTAAGGAGGCAATGTTATAACGCTTTAAAATGTAGGCATATGCAAAATTCTATGTGTGATTTGGAAGACCCCTTTAAAATTCTCTCTACGTATATAATCATAGAAGGCCCAATTCGAAAAAGTACTTCTGCAACATGCTTGGAAATACGCCAGTTGCAACAAGAATCAAGGCAGAAGGCTGGCACTCTATTCTTTATTCCTTAGAGAGTCTTTCAAAGAAGTGGGGGCATATTGACATTTGGGGATAAATTTTCACATTTTATTTTTGTTGCACAAACTTGAAATGCATGAACTCAGAGTACCATATTCAGCATCAGTAACGATTCAGAAGCAGCTCTTGGAGATGTTCAATGAGACCTCCCAGGTTTCACTTAGATCTCTGAGAATTAGAGCTAGAAGGACTCTGAATATCCACCTTGGAGGTTGGGGACAGAAGACCCACCATCCTCATCGCTGTCAGCATCTTGAAGCCACTGGTCTTTCACAGTGTGTGGGAAGATGTGCTCATGCGTCCTCTCATCGCCTCTTTCTAGCACTCCAGAGGCATGTTTTGGTTACCATACTTCATTCCTTCTACTTAGACTAGTTATTATCATGTGAATACATTCACCGCCTACCTCCAACCTATGTGCATCCCATTTTAAATTGGTTGCTTCCTAAACTGTAACTATGGTCACAGACTTCATACTTAATTTTCAGTTTCTTCCGGCTCTTTTCATGAGAGCTGATTCGTTTCTGTATCCCTTGCTCTGGCCCCTGTCAAACGTCGTGACCATTTCTGAATAGAATTGTTGTAGCTCACACAGCCTATGAGGGAAGCAGCCTTCTTACCTAGACCCCCGCCTGACAGTCAGGCCCCCATCCAGAGCTCCCTTCCCAACCCAGCAGAAGCTTTTCTTACCTTCTCATGGATTCCAAGGTCTTTTTGCTCCTTTGTTGCTGGGTGGTCAGGAACTCAGTGTGCCCTTCCATGCTGCTCTTCACCCCACCAAACTCCAGGCCGGCAACCACCAAGCCAAAATTGCATTATGCTTTCCAAACCAGGCATCAGGCAACAGCAGGGAATTCCTGCCTCCAGCCTCCCGAGTTTCTCCAGCTCCCAGAGGGTCCCTTCCCTTTGTTCCTTCCCCTCTGGAGCCAGCTCCACACCCTCGGCCAACTCACCAACCTACTGGTGTGCAGTAGTGCCTCCAGGGTTTGCAGCACCTATTTCAAAGACACCACTGGCTGATCACAGTCCCTTTGGCCTCTCAATAGCCCTGTCACCTGGGCCATAGCTCTGCAGAGAGCTGGGAGCAGTTGACATTTTTCTTTTTATTTTTTTCTGAGACAGAGTCCTGCTCTGTCGCCAGGCTGGAGTGCAGTGGCATGATCTCGGCTCACTGCAACCTCTGCCTCCCGGGTTCAAGCAATTCTCCTGCCTCAGACTCCCAAATAGCTGGGATTACAGGTGCCCACCACTGCGCCCAGCTAATTTTTGTATTTTTAGTAGAGACAGCATTTCACCATGTTAGCCAGGTTGGTCTCGAACTCTTGACCTCAGGTGATCCACCCACCTCAGCCTCCCAAAGTGCTGGGATTAAGGTGTGAGCCACTGCACCCAACTGACATTCTTTAATTACTCCACACCAGAAAAACGCAGTCACAGACACCACTTCCATAGCCTGCTTCCCTTGGCTTCCAGGGAAATGACTCCTTCATGACAGTTGAGGTCACAGTTGCCCTGACTGCTTCCTATCCCTGTCAAACACCAACACTCCAGCCTTTTTGTGTATTCTGCTTCTAGGTTTCCTGCCTTGGGGGTGCCAAACCCAGGTTTATGGATGAAGGCTGCCGAAATGTCATCCCATGGCCAGGCCTCAGTTCTGGCCACTAGGGACTGTCTCTAGCTTTCCAAAAGGAAAGAGTTAAGATGGCCAAGGAAATTATGCAGTCTTACTGTCTTTGGCTAAGTGGTTCCTAATATGGATCCCTTTTTGCCTTGGTAGGAAAGGAAAAAGAACTTCTCTCTTTCCCATTAGGTTCTGTAGCTGAGTGAACTGACAAAGACGGATGAACATGAGGAAAGCATCATATTTTACTTAATATTTTTACAGGCACATGTGAACTTTCATAAGAAAAATGAAGATCCGAAGAAGCCATTAGGACTAACAGCTTACATACTCTTTTAACAAAAGATGATAAATTTATGGAGAAGTGACAAAGGAGAAAGCTTCACGTTTCTAGGGGCAGTCATTGTGGGGCAGTGACTAATGAAAGACAAGGGTTATTTTAGTGGGTTTGTACAGATCCATTTCGGGGTGAGCTCCCAGTCCCTGGTGATGAGAACATTCTCCTCTTCCTGGTACAGGGCAGGCACGTTTCTCATGGAAAATTTCATGACCTGCTTTTTGGGACAGAGCAGGAGGTCAGTCAGCCCTGCATCTGAGGCTTCTCAAGTGCCTTTAGCTGCAATTAGTTAACATGCCAAAGGGCACATTTTGGGGTGGCATTTTGTGTTCTGAACCCTTTCGCCTTCCTCTTGCCTACACTGAGGTTCACAGAGGCCTGCAGAGAAGCTGCTGCAGGAGGATGGGGAGATGGGGAGGCGACACCCCTCCACTGCATGAAATGCCCATGGGCACATGGCTGCTGCTTCCACCTACCCAGGGAAGAACCAGCCAACTGGCGTGGCAGGCAGGGAGCTAGTGTGGCCTCCCTGCTCACTCCTCAGTAGCGGGGCCTCCCAGCGATGCCAGTGCCACCAGAGAGCCTGGGCCACCCTGACCCCTCTCTCCCTGTTACTCTCCTTCCTTCCAGAGCCCCTGCTGCCCCTCTGTCTCCAGAATTGTCCCCTGCTTGCCAGTTAACCCGTCCCCAGCACATGTTGGTTTCTGAGGGACCCAGCCTCTCAGCCCTCGCTGGCCACCTGTCCCAGCCTCAGAAGAAGGGGACAGAGGACACTCATTCATTCCACCATATTTACTGGGGCCAGGCCTGCACTAGGTGCTGGGGACTCCCAGGCTGACAAGACAGACCTGCCCGGAGGGCCTCACATGTTAGTAGAGAAGACAAATAAGAACAGATCAACCAAGACTCAGTGGGAAACATGCAGCCTGGATAGATGCCTTGGTAAAGCCAGGCTGGCACAGAGAGGGCGGAGGAGGCCTGTGCAGGGTCCACGGTCACCCGGGAAAGGGAGCTCGGTGGCCTCCCAGCGGAAGAGCTAGAGAAATGGTCCAGGACAGTCGTCACCTGAGAGCCGGGCACGGCTTTCCTAGGCTCTCACCCTACCTTGTGTGGGACACAGCGGGCGCCGGGCAGATCTGACACTAACAGGCATCGCCAGGTATGCTGGCACACACACTCACATGCGCACACTCACACACTTGCTCTGGCACACCTTCACACATATGCTTAGCCTTACACATTCACACTCACTGTTACACATTTGCTCTTGCACACCACACACTCGCAACACTCAATCACTCTTACACTTATTCACACAGTCATACACTCACAACTTCTGGATCTGATTAGAAACCTACACTAAAGGAACATCGATCACCTTCCACGCTTTGTTTACATTGCAGCATATTCTTGTACTCACTTAGCCTTGGAAGGGAGGCTCCATGCTCTCATCCAATATCTGAGTAGCCCCTACCCTCAACTCTATTGCCATGGAGAAGAGAGGGGAGGAAAGGCAACAGTTTAAAAAAAGAAAAAAAAAAAAAGAATGCGGCTGGGCGAGGTGGCTCACGCCTGTAATCTCAGCACTTTGGGAGGCTGAGGCGGGCAGATCACGAGGTCAAGAGATCGAGACCATCCTGGCAAACATGGTGAAACCCCGTCTCTACTAAAAATACAAAAAAATTAGCCAGGCCTGGTGGCGTGTGCCTGTGGTCCCAGCTACTCGGGAGGCTGAGGCAGAAGAATCGCTTGAACCCAGGAAGCGGAGGTTTCAGTGAGCCAAGATTGCGCCACGGCACTCCAGCCTGGCGACAGAGCAAGACTCCCTCTCAAAAAAAAAAAAAAAAAAAAAAAAAAAGAATGCAGTCCTCTGTCCCTGGGTCGGGAATGTTGCATTATCTAGACAGATAGAAATTCAGGAAACAACGTAGGAACTCACCTCGGCCTCTTGGTCTGCCCCATCCTTGCTTTACTTGGCTGAACGTCCCATTAATTTCCCCCCAACCCCAGAGGAAAGTGAGCAGAGAACAGGCCTCAACCCTTGCTGCCTTTCTTTGCAGCTTCCTGGAAAGGATCGACAGCGTCAGCTTGGTTGACTACACACCCACAGACCAGGTATGTGGAATTACGATCCCCACCGCACACCAGAAACTTTTGAGATTTGTTTCCAATATGATTTAATGATTATTTCAAAATGGATTAAGGAAAAATCCTGACGATACCTACTTCTTGGAAATCATTTGTACTGCCCTGTCTGTGTGCACGGATCGGTCATCAAACCCTGTGCCTTGCTTCACTTACTTTAGTGCTTAGTGGTTATTTAAATTGCTAGCGTGTAAATGAGTTTATCTGCAGACTAGGAACATGCAGTTCCCACTCCTCCTGGAACTGTCCTCAGGAAAGCCAAGTCTTTACTTCCTGACTTCTAAACTTGCCCATTCTGTTTGTGGCCCCTGGCCTGAGTGCCATATCACAGCGAACTTTCCAGGTGTGACCCAGAGCATCTCCTTTGGGTTGAGTCAGAAAAAAAGCACTCCACCAATTTTTTTTTTTTTTTTTTTTTGAGACAGAATCTTGCTCTGTTGTCCAGGCTGGAGTGCAGTAGCGCAATCTTGGCTCACTGCAACCTCCGCCTCCTGGGTTCAAGCGATTCTCCTGCCTCAGCCTTTCAAGTAGCTGGGACTACAGGTGCCTGCCACCTCACTCAGCTAATTTTTGTACTTTTAGTAGAGACAGGTTTTTGCCTTGTAGGCCAGGCTGGTCTCAAACTCCTGACCTCAGATTATCCGCCTGCCTCAGCCTCCCGAAGTGCCGGGATTATAGGCGTGAGCCACTGCACTAGGCCAATCTGAGTTCATATTATTTTTTTCCTTTATAGTGGAACAAATTATTTGAAAAATATTGATGACGTATAGTTCTACCGGGGTTTTACCTTGAGGAAGAACAGTAATATAACTCAGCTTGCTTCCCTCTTCTTGCTCCCAGGACCTCCTCAGATGCAGAGTTCTGACATCGGGGATTTTTGAGACACGATTCCAAGTGGACAAAGTAAACTTTCAGTGAGTATGTTGTTAAGAGCCGCATGGCCCAGGGTCAGGGGACAAAGAGCCGAAGGGTTGTGGGGCTTAAGGGGGCTTCATCCCTGAATGTGCATGGGTGCCCTTTCAGGTAAGGGCAGCTGGGGTGAAATTTGAACTCTAGCAAAAGTTGAAGTGTTGATTTTACTGCCTACTTTAAAGTAGAAATGAGGACACCTGAAAGGAAGGCAGTGTTTGCATCTGAGTTGTAGATTTGATCAGCCCTTTTATTAGATCAGGAGACTCACGAAATTTTAATCTTTCAGATGCACAGTCACAGTTTGAGAACTGAAATTAGCAGTGTATGTGTGTCTCTAGCCCATCTCTTGGGTTGCCCAAGTGCAAACTCTGCCAAATGAGCTTACTTTCTTCATTTTTCCTCCTCATGACGAGACAGTAATTCTCCCTCCACAAAGCTCTTTTCCAGCCTCACAGCTATGACCCTAGTCCTGCTCCATCACTTCCCCCGCGCCTAGGCTCTCTCGGCAGGGCCCTGGCTGGTCTCCTGTCTGCTAGCTAACCCATTCCAGTCGCCCTAATCAGCACCATGAAATGGATCTTCCCACAGCATGGCCTGGATTGTGCTATTCCTCTGCTGAGAAAGGTTCAGGGCTCACTATTGCCTGTGCATCCTATGACCCACGCCCTCCATCTGTGACCTGCCCCACCCCCAGCCCTGCTTTGCCACCTGCCACCTGCCTCACCAGGCTGGATTGCTGTCAGGACCCTTCAGTTCTCCCAACTCTTCCTGCTACAGCACCTCTGTTCATCTTGTCCTCTGAGCCTCAGATCCTGCCTGGGCTAAGCAAACCCCACAAATCTATCAAAGCTTCCGTCAGGATAGGCATAGGGGCTCATGCCTGTAATCTCAGCACTTTGGGAGGCCAAGGCAGTAGGATTGCTTGAGGCCAGGAGTTCAAGACCAGCCTGGGCAACATAGCAAGAACCTGTCTCTACCAAAACAAAGCAAAACAAAAAAAAAACTAAAGAGGCTGAGGTGGGAGGATCTGTTAAGCCCAGGAGTTCAAGGCTACAGTGAGCCATGATTATGCCACTGCACTCTAGCCTGGGTGACAGAGTGAGACCCTGTCACTAAAAAAAAAAAAAAAAAAAAAAGCATCCAAGCATCCCTTAAATCTCAGCCCATGGTGACCCCTTAGAATTCCCGTTGCATCTGCTAGGCAGCCCTTGATGGTCTACTGCCCTATACCTTTCCCAGTCCCCTTCGGCATGTACGACTCAGCTCTAAGGGACCTCACCCTTAAGGTCTTTTAGAGTAAGAGTTTCATGATTTTCATTGTGTTCTGAGACTCCCAGAGTGCGCAGCGCTCTCCCCAGTTCACAGGTGACAGACACCTACTTCCAGATTTCCCAAGAACCCTTCACATGGCCACTGTCAGGCTGGATAAAAGCCAGCTACGTCTCTCTCTGCTGTGAGGCACACACTGCATTATAGAGTTGGCGTGACTTTTCATCAAGTACCTCAGCGTGCCCCACGTGTGCTAATGCAGAGTGTACAGATTGAATTCTAGAAGGATCAGCAACATACCCGCCCAGGACAAAAAAATCTAGCCTGTGTAGTCAGTCCTAAGGCACATGTGCAATGTTTAGGGAAGCGAGAAATCTCAGAGCCAGGGATGCCTGTGAAGGTTGGAAAGATCCAGCTGAATCTGGGTAGGTAGAGAAACTCTCCCAGGGAGAAATGGCTTAGGCCACAGGGTGCGCTGGGTAGGGGCTGTGAGAGGAGGGGCCTGGGCCTGGCCTGATGAAGTGCAGGATGTAGCTGAGAAACTCTAAGAGAACTGGCTGAGCTCACTTTGGCTGGGCAAGACCAGGGAGTGACTCAGGCTGGGCAGAGAAGCCTGAACTAAATCAGGGCAGTGATAAAGACCTAGTGCAGGTCACCAGGCAGAGGCGGCTGGAGACAAGACGCATGTAGTGTCAACAGATCAGCAAGGAGCCTTTCTCAATGCTCCAGCGGAGTGAGGACACTCCAGCTTACAGCGTCCTGAGAGCTGGAATAAATCAAAGAAGAATCTGCCCTGGGCGGGGACTTAGCTTGTACTCAGAGAGGCCTAAGTGTCTGAGCAAGTCATCTCTAGCATTACTGAGCTAGTAACTACTGCATTTATTAAAGACCTACTGTGTGACCTCAGACACTGCTGGCTGCTGTCTGCTTGATCTCTCAACCCCTGTAGCCCCACTGTGGGGTGACAGAGGAGGGACAGTGGCTGAGAGAGGTGAAGCCACTTGTAGTCCAGGATCACACAGGGAGCGATGGTGCGGGCCAGACAGTGACCCGAGCCTGACTCAGACCCACGTGTGATCGCTGGAACCTGCTGATAATAATGGAGGAAAGCAAGCATGTGTGCCATTGTCCCCTGCTTCCCTCAAATAACTGTGTTCCTCTTGCCCTTCCACAGCATGTTTGATGTTGGTGGCCAGAGGGATGAGAGGAGAAAATGGATCCAGTGCTTTAACGGTGATTTTTATGCTCTCTCAAGAAAATGGGGGTGAATTCTAACACTTGGCACTGCTGTGCTTAACTATTTTTGAATTAGATAATCTCTAATTTAATTAGTATGTAAAGTATAGCATTTTATAGATCATTAAGCTCCTTCCTCAGATACTAATCTCATTTTTAATAAGCGTTTAAGGGCCGGGCGCAGTGGCTCACGCCTGTAATCCCAACAATTTGGGAGACTGAGGAGGGCAGATCACCTGAAGCCAGGAGTTCAAGACCAGCCTGGCCAACATGGTGAAGCCCCGGCTCTATTAAAAATACAAAAATTGCCGTGCACATTGGCTCACACCTGTAATCCTGTTTGAAAGCACTTTGGGAGGCCAAGGCAGGTGGATCATGAGGTCAGGAGTTTGAGACAGCCTGGCCAATCTAGTGAAACCCTGTCTCTACTAAAAATACAAAAATTAGCTGGGCATGGTGGTGCACCCCTGTAGTTCCAGCTATTCAGGAGGCTAAGGCAGAAGAATTGCTTGAACCTGGTAGGCGGAGGTTTCGGTGAGCCAAAATCACACCACTGCACTCGAGCCTGGGCGACAGAGCAAGACTCTGTCTCAAAAAAAAAAAAAAAAAGCCAGATGTGATGATGGGCCTGTAATCCTAGCTACTGGGGAGGCTGGGGCAGGCTCATGCAACCACACCCAGCTAATTTGCAACCCAGGGGTTGGAGGTTGCAGAGAGCCAAGATCATGCCATTGCACGCCAGCCTGGGAGACAAGAGTGAAACTCCATCTCAAAAAAAAAAAAAAAAAGCAGTTAAGCATCCCAAATTTACATGTGTCTTTTGGGGTAGGCTCTTCATCAGTACATTACTGAAACAACAAGTGATACGTGTGGTGCATATCCAGGCTATTCTGTGACTGAATAGTCCTATCATTGAATGAATGTTTTGAGGAACTGAGTAGCTGCTGGGTGTGTACTTTCTTGTAACTCCACAGGGAGGATTTCTACCTGAGGTGCTTTCCTTTTTCTCTTTCCCCCACCAAGATGTCACAGCGATCATCTACGTCGCAGCCTGCAGTAGCTACAACATGGTGATTCGAGAAGATAACAACACCAACCGGCTAAGAGAGTCCCTCGATCTTTTTGAAAGCATCTGGAACAACAGGTGATAAAAATAACAAATTCAGTCTCTCTACTGATTGCAAGTTTTCTTTTGTTAAAAATATGCTCAGGCCAGGCATTGTGGCTCGCACCCGTAATCTCAACAATGGGAGGCCGAGGCAAGGTGGGTCACTTGAGCCCAGGAGTTGGAAATCAGCCTGGACAACATGAAAAAACCTTGTCTCTACAAAAAATACAAAAATTAGCCAGGCGTGGTGGTACATACCTGTCCCAGTTACTCAGGAGCTTGAGGTAGGAGGATCGCTTGAGCCCAGGAGGTGAGGGTTGCAATGAGCTGAGATCACACGACTGCACTCCTGCCTGGGCAACAGAGCAAGACCCTGTCTCAAAACACACAAACACACAGACACACACACACAGACACACACTCTCTCTCTCTCTCTCTCTCTCTCTCTCTCTCTCTCTGTCTTTACTGATAAATCCAGAACCATAAGAAGTATCTCTTTTGGCTCATCTATTGTATAGACATACTTAAAATGTGGAGTGTTCTTTGATGAAGTTCTGATGGTTGCTTTGTCAAGAAAATTTAAATCTCTGTTTTGAAAGCCTAAGATTACATTCGGCCTTCCATATCTTCAGGTTCCACATCTGCAGATTCAACCAACCACAGATTGAAAACATTCAAAAATAAATTTAAGATAGCAATACAACAACAACAAAAAATACAGAATTGCCAGGCACAGTGGCTTACCCCTGTAATCCCAGTATTTGGGGACGCTGAGATGGGGGAATTGCTTGAGCTCAGGAGCTTGAGACCAGCCTAGGCAACATTTTGAAATGCCATCTCTACAAAAATATAAAAATTAGGTATGGCAGTACGCACTTGTAGTCCCAGCTACTTGGAAAGCTGAGCCCAGGAGGCAGAGATTACAGTGATCCGAGACTGCATCACTGCACTTCAGTCTGAGCGACAGAGGGAGACTCTGTCAATTAATTTAAAAATTTAGCAAAGAAAAAATTAGACTAAAAAATAAGAATACAAATAACAAACACTACAGTATAACAAGTACTTACCCAGCTTTTACATTTGTGATAGGTATTGTAGGTAATGAGGAGATGATTTAAGCATATGGGAGGATGTGCTCGGGTTATATGCAAATACTACGCCATTTCATATTTGGGAGCCTCCTCAGATTTTGGTATTCACAGGGAGTCCTAGACCAATCCCCCATGGGTATCAAGGGATGACCCTATAGCTAGGGTTCAAAATAGGTTTTGTTTGGTTTTTAAAATTTAGGAAGTACCAATTTAGGGACTGGGCACAGTGGCTCACGCCTGTAATCTCAGAACTTTGGGAGGTTGAGGCAGGTGGATCACCTGAGGTCAGGAGTTTGAGACCAACCTGGCCAAAATGGTGAAACCCCGTGTCTGCTAAAAATAAAAAAGTAGCTGGGTGTGGTGGTGGGCACCTCCCAAGTCCCAGCTACTTGGGAGGCTGAGGCAGGAGAATCGCTTGAACCTGGGAGGTGGAGGTTGTAGTGAGCTGAGATTGCACAACTGCACTCTAGCCTGGGCAACAGAGTGAGACTCTGTCTCAAAAAATAATTTTTTTAAAATTTAAAAAATAAATAAATAAATAAAAATGCCATTTTAGGACATCCACTAATAACTAGATGACCTCTAAGATCCCTTACAGCTCACAGTCACCACATTAGTGTTTGAAACGACTAGCGTTGCAAAGTGGCAGAAGAGATTATTTCAGAAAGGAATATTTAGCATGCGCACACACACAATAAATACATATATAGTTAGAAATCAGTTTCTTCTGAAATATTTAGGAAGAAATATCACCAAGGAGGATAGGAAACATAAGTTTATCTTGTAAGAGTTTTGGATTATCAGAAAAGTGTCTTTCTATCAAATGTTCAACAACTATCCTCCAATTTGTGGTATTAAGACAGTTAATGGGAAATAAACAGGGTCAGGAAATACCAGGTATACAGAAGAATACTATAGAGTTATTTTCAATTTATTTATATACACTATATGTGTAAGTGGGAAAATGACCACAATATTCTTTTTTTTTCTTTTTTTTTTTTTTTTTTATTTTTTTGAGACGGAGTTTCGCTCTTGTTACCCAGGCTGGAGTGCAATGGTGCGATCTCGGCTCACCGCAACCTCCACCTCCTGGGTTCAGGCAATTCTCCCGCCTCAGCCTCCCGAGTAGCTGGGACTACAGGCACGCGCCACCACACCCAGCTAATTTTTTTGTATTTTTAGTAGAGACGGGGTTTCACCATGTTGACCAGGATGGTCTCGATCTCTTGACCTCGTGATCCACCCGCCTCGGCCTCCCAAAGTGCTGGGATTACAAGCTTGAGCCACCGCACCCGGCCTGACCACAATATTCTTATATGAAAAAGCAGATTTTGAAATATTATGATCTTATTTTTATAAATATATGTGAGGACAGAAAAAAAACTTGGTCATAAAAACATAAAACTTCTATAGTAATTGTTTCTGGGTATAATTACGTTTGATTTTTTTCTGCATGTTTTTCTATAATTTAAGATTTGTATTTACAAAGATTATATATTTTATTACTAGAAGAAGCAGGTAAGCTATTTCCATCTGAGGGGAAAATAGATTGTGGAGTCTTTTTGTTTTTTGTTTTGTTTTTTGAGACAGAGACTCGCTCTGTCCCCCAGGCTGGAGTGCAGTGGCACTATCCCAGCAACCTCCACCTCCCCAGTTCCAGTGATTCTCCAGCCTCAGCCTCCTGAGAAGCTGGGATTATAGGTGTGTGCCACCACACCCAGCAAGTTTTTATATTTTTAGTAAAGATGGGGTTTCACCATGCTGGTCAGGCTGGTCTCCAGCTCCGGACCTCATGATCCACCCACCTTGGCCTCCCAAAGTGCTGGGATTACAGGCGTGAGCCACCACACCCAGCCAGATTGTGTTTTTAATTGATAGTAATATTCCAGTAGACTAATAAATTATCTTGATTCCTTTGAAGTGACAGAGGCGGAAGAACCAAGGCAGCTGCAAGTTAAGCTCTGTGTTATTAGCTAATGAGTCAGAATATTTTGTTGTTATTAACACTTTCACTTCTAGTGTGAGTTTTCTGACCTTTATTGGCAAATTACACCACAGAAATCCAAGTGAACTAATTACATAAGTAAATCTTAGCTTTGGTTCCAATAAATTTATATCCCCCGTGGCACTGAATTAGAAAGTGCTTAACTGCAGATTGAGTATCTCTTCCCTGAAACACTTGGGACAAAAACTGTTTCAGATTACTGATTTTTTTTTTATTTTGGAATAGTTGAATTATTCTTACTAGTCTAGCATCCCTAATATGAAAATCCGAAGTGTGAAATGCTCCAACAAGCATTTCCTTTGAGGATCATGTCAGTGCTGAAAAAGTTTCGGATTTTGAAGCATTTCGGAGTTTGTGTTTTCGGACTAGGGATGCTCAGCCTGTACCTGTGAGTGTTTGTCATTGTTTACAGTTGGAATGAGGATAGTGTGTTGAATTTTCTTGACTCCTATACATTATTAGGAGGATGATGGTATTCCTTTAATTTAGCAACTTCTGTGTTAGAGCACTTTCATATACTAGTGTATGTGAAATTTGTATATTTATTTCTCTTTTTTAGGTGGTTACGGACCATTTCTATCATCTTGTTCTTGAACAAACAAGATATGCTAGCAGAAAAAGTCTTGGCAGGGAAATCAAAAATTGAAGACTATTTCCCAGAATATGCAAATTATACTGTTCCTGAAGATGGTAAGATTTGAGAACACATTCTTATGATTGAGAAATAGAATTGTTTTATTAATAGTCCTGTAACTGTAATTCAGATACTTCTGATGAATCTAAAAAATTCACTTAATTTAAATCAATTCTCTTTCTACTGCCCATATCCTATAGTGCTAGAGTGTTAAAATGTCCTATTTAAGGTCACGTCTGTAAATGTTTCCGAGTTTGACTTTCCATTGAAACTGGGCAGCAGAAGGAGCCGCTTTGGGGTGTGACCGTGTCATGCTGGTATGAACTCTCCCTCTAGTGGTTTTGGCTGGGTGTGACATGACGGGGGCCTTAGTCCGTGATACAGACCTTCTTGCTTCACCCTCAAAGGACCCTGCATGAGAGTCTGGGAGAGGAGAAATCACATGTCCAAGGCCACATGGGTAGAACCACACAGCCAAGGCAGTCCTCGCACCCTTTGTCCCCAAGCCCGTGCTGGCAGCAGCTGCGCTTACCTGCTCCTGTCTCCACCCTTGCTGTGGCTGCGGCCTTGGGAATTTCCAGCAGGGCCAGCACCATTCTAGGCTGCCTGAGACTGAGGGGTTTCCGGGGCACAGGACTGGCAGTGCTAAAGCCAGGAAGGTAAACCAGGAGGAGTTGGTCACTCCGTTTCCAGTTGCTTACACTTTAGTTTCCAGTGAACACCAGGTATACCAGAGGCTCATAGGAGTGATGTAAGGCAAAATCACACCACTTCTTACCTCTTGAATTCAAAACTAGATAACAGAGAATAAAAGAGACTTCCCTGGAAAATATAGTTAAGATTTGGAAAATTTATTTTTTATCCTCAATGAAGAGGTAAAAGAAAACTTGCATTTTCATTAAATTTTCTTGCTCCTTATGGTCAATGTTCTTTTCTCCCTCGGGGACGGGCATTATGCAAGTATATTCGTAGTAAAATCCTGACCTGTGTGGGGCCTTCCAATAAAATCCTGCTACTGTCACCTGTGTCAGAAAGACCTGAAAAACATCCTACTGCTAGATATTTCCTTAACAGGACTTTGGAAATGGGCTTGAGCGCCAGCTCTGCCTTGGTCTCACCAGACCCAGCTGCTTTCATGAGCGGTGCAGCCCCCACACTTGCAGAGTGTCAGTCAGCGCAAGGTCCAGGCTCTTCCTGAGGCCAAATCAAGTGGAAATCTCATTGCAGTTCATCACCACCTGGCTCTTCCTGCAGCCTGGTGATGTGCTTTCCAGCACTGAGGCCGGGTGCCTCTTGCCACAGAGCATGGCTTCGGCTGTGCATTCTGTGGCTCACGTTGCCAGTCTCCCAGCAAGCTGGGTCTTTCATTCTCCTGCTAACCACCTCCTGCCACTCCCTGTCACTCAGCTCAGGCAGTGGCTCTGGGGGGCGCTCCCACAGTGTCCGCCTCTCCATGCCTTTCCCTGTTTCCCTCTTCATAGCTGTGATCCTGGCCCTCACTCCCCTCATCTCAGCAGCTGCCACCGCCTCCTGCGTGACCTCCTGTAGCTGGTCACTCACCTTTCCAGAACATTCTGTGAACTTCTACCAAAGTCACCCTTCTGAGACACAACCTTACCCACTTAGGGGCACCAAGGAGAAGCACCACCACTGGCTGATGGCTGAGGCCACCTCTCCAGCCGGGGGTGCTGAAGGGCTTTCGTCCAAGGGCTGAGGGGACCCTGGCTTGCTGCCTTAGTGCCAGGCCCAGTGACCACTCTTCACCCAGCAGTATGTGTCATCTCCATCTGTGCCCTGCCCCTCCCAAGAGACTCAACCATCCCTGAGCATCTGTAGCACCTGCTGGAACCCACCATCAACTGCAACATCCTCAACTCTCACTTAATAATAAAAGGGAACGAGCTGTTCGTCCATGTAACGGCATGGGTGAAATGCACAGTAATTATGCCTAAAGAATCACAGCAAAAACTATATGCCATGTGAATGCATTTGTGTAAATGTCTAGAAAGTGCAGACCTACGCAGGATGACAGACACACTGGTGGCTGCCTGGGGAAGGAGGGCTGCAGAGGGGGTGCAGACACTGTGGGAGGGGCTGGCTGAGCTCATTGTTTCCATTGTAGTGATGCTGGCATGGCAACACACACTCCAGAACTCCTCCGACAGGCCGGGCACAGTGGCTCACACCTGTAATCTCAGCACTTTGGGAGGCCTAGGCATGCGGATTACCTAAGGTCAGGAGTTCAAGACCAGCCTGGCCAACACGGTGAAAACCCATCTCTACTAAAAATACAAAAATTAGCCAGGTGTGGTGGCTGGCACCTATAATCCCAGCTACTTGGGAGGCTGAGACAGGAGAATAGCTTGAACCTGGGAGGCAGAGATTGCAGTTAGCCGAGATCACGCCACTGCACTCCAGCCTGGGTGACGAAACAAGCCTCCACCTCCCCACCAAAAAAAAAAAAAAAGAAAAGGAAATTACATGTTTATTTTTGCCTTGCTGTACATGTATTTCAATGCTCTGAATATACAGCAATCCTGAAATTCCTTCTGTGTTTTCATAGAAGGAATTTCAGGATTGCTGTATATTAAAAGCATAATTTAATGCTGTGAATATACAGCAAACACTGTTATATATGTTATACGTTAGTTTAAAATTCATAATTTAATGCTGTGAATATACAGCAAACACTGAAATTCCTTCTTTGTTTTCATAGAGTTGTATCTTTGTTTCATGTTGCTTAAATAAAGTTCCATTTGTAATTTCTACAGCAACACCAGATGCTGGAGAAGATCCCAAAGTTACAAGAGCCAAGTTCTTTATCCGGGACCTGTTTTTGGTAAGCAATTTTGTTCACCTTTGTTTTAATACCTCCATTCTTAATCTTTTGTATTTTGCAATATACAAAAGCACACCGAGGTTCAGAGAGGTTAGATTTCTTACCCAAGGCCACACAGCTTCCAAGCAGCAGAGCCTGGATGAGAACAGAGTGCCCTGAGGAATGGCACTTAGACAGGATAGAGTTCATTCACTTGTTATATTTTCCAAAAAGGACAGCGTCCTTTAGCAGAGTCTAAGCACCCATCCTCTTCCTCCATCCAAAAGCACTACCAGCCTGATGGTTTATGTAAAAATGGATGTGCTCAAATTCAGACATTTACTTTTTTCTTTGGCTTTTTATTTTGAGATTATTTCAAACTCACATACAAGGCAGAAGATTTGTACAAATAACTCCCATATACTCAGGCTGGGTGTGGTGGCTCACGCCTGTAATCCCAGCACTTTGGGAGGCAGGTGGTTCACCTGAGGTCAGGAGTTTGAGACCAGCCTGGCCAACATGGTGAAACCCCTACTCTGCTAACAATACAAAAACTTAGCTGGGCATGGTGGCATAAGCCTATAATCCCAGCTACTCCAAAGGCTGAGGCAGGAGAATCACTTAAACCCAGGAGGCAGAGGTTGCGGTGAGCCAAGATGGCACCACTGCACTCCAGCCTGAACGACAGAGTAAGACTCTTTCTCAGAAGAAGAAGAAAAAAGACTCCCATATACTCTTTACCCAAATTGACCAGTTGGCAAAAATTTGCCACATGTGCTTTGTCTATCTATATGTTTTTCTTTGAAATAACCTATAGTATATAGCTAGCTGTGCATTTTTACTCGCTTCAAACTATTACATGCCAAGGCATTCCTAAGGGCATGTTGCCAGTAGTACTGCAGGTTCACTTAACACATGTGGACAAGGTCTTAGCCTGGGTAGCCCTAGGGCTGATCCTCAGCTGTGGGGCCATTCCACAGACACCGACACTCCAGCCTGGCCTTCCACCACCCTCTTCCCACCATACCCCTGTGGGATGTCTCTTGAATCCTACAGTAAGTTAGAAAGTAACAATGATGAGAAATCAGGACCCCAGAATGAGTTCGGAGGAACACGCATTCCCCCAGAAGTGCATAGCAGTAAGTGCATGGCAGCACTGGGAGAGCTTCTGCAGCTGAATAGATCTGGGACATGCTGTGTTAAATACAGCAAGAGAGGGTCCTCTGCCTCTCTCTGAGTGGGTCAGATTCTCAGAGCCTTTACTTAAGGCCAGTTAATGTGCATTGCAAATCTCTTCAATAGGGAATTTAGTTTGTAATAGATCAAGAGATCCCTTTTTTAAGGAGCATCTTGTAAAACCATAACATACAAAGACACATAGAATGGTATTCTAATGAGAACTAATTTTTTTTTTTTTTTTGATACGGAGGCTGAGTGCAGTGGCGTGATCTCGGCTCACTGCAACCTCAGCCTCCCAAGTTCATGTGATTCTCCTGCCTCAGCCTCTTGAGTAACTGGGATTACAGGTGCACACCACCACACCCAGCTAATTTTTGTATTTTTAGTAGAGACGGGTTTCACCATGTTGGTCAGGGCTGGTCTCGAACTCCTGACCTCGTGATCTGCCTGCCTCAGCCTCCCAAAGCACTGGGATAAGAGGCGTGAGCCACTTGCTGGGCTGAGAACTAAATGTTAATTAAGCATGCATATGTTGGGTACTTAAATGAAGATTAGAAACATCTAGTCTGGATGTAGTTGCTCATACATGTAATCCCAACACTTTCGGAGGCCAAGGCAGGTGGATCACCTGAGGCCAGAAGTTCAACATCAGCCTAGATAACATATCAACAAAAAATTTTAAAACTTACCTGGCTGTGGTGGCACAGGCCCACCTACTCAGGAGGCTGAGGTGGGATCTCTTGAGCCCAGGAATTTGAGGTGGCAGTGAGCTATGATTGTGCCGCTGCACTCCAGCCTGGGTGACAGAGCAACACTCCATCTCAAAACAAAAACAAAACTATTTCAAGCAACAACCTTTGTAATGACTCAATTCTCTTCATTTCAAGGCTCTAGGCAGGGACAAATAGTCACACTATTACAGAAGAAAGCCATTTTTTGTTTGTTTGTTTGGGACATTGCCTCCCACTGTCACCTAGGCTGCCTGGAGTCCAGTGGCAGGATCATAGCTTACTGCAGCCTCCAACTCCTGGGCTCAAGCAGTCCTCCTGCCTCAGCCTCGTGAGTAGCTGGGACTACAGGCGCACACCACCACACCTGGCTAATTTTAAATTTTATAGAGATAGAGACTTGCTATGTTAGAGACTATAATAGAGACTATGCCCAGGCTGCTCTCGAACTTCTGGCCTCAAGTGATCCTTCTGCCTCCACCTCCCAAAGTGCTGGGATTACATGTATGAGCCACTGCACCCAGCCAAAAGCCCATTTTTCACTCATTCACTACATATTTACTGTATGTGTGCCAAATACCTCACCTGGTAATTTAGGAATAAAAAGGTGTATAACCTACTCATTTCAGTGTCCATAAGTTTTTTGTTTTGTTTTGTTTTTTTAATGCTTGAAAGAAGGCTGACTATTGCTAAAAATAAGTCTATGCCCCTGGGAGAAGTTTCATACCTCATGACATCTTCAGGATACCCTTTCTGTGGTCCAAGCAGCTGTCTTTTTTTTTTTTTTTTTTTTTTGAGACAGTGTTTCACTCTTGTTGCCCAGGTTGGAGTGCAGTGGCGCGATCTCAGCTCACCACAACCTCTGCCTCCCAGGTTCAACCGATTCTCCTGCCTCAGCCTCCAGAGTAGCTAGGATTACAGACATGCTCCACCACTCCTAGCTAATTTTGTATTTTTAGTAGAGACAGGGTTTCTCCATGTTGGTCAGGGTGGTCTTGAACTCCAGACCTCAGGTGATCCGCCCACCTCAGCCTCCCAAAGTGCTGGGATTACAGATGTGAGCCACCATGCCTGGCCACAAGCAGCTATCTAAAGGCTGTTTCATGGGATGCCTTGTAGAAAAAGGAGTAGAGGGGCTGAGGAGGAGGCCCAGGGATTCCTGTGGTACAAAAAAAAAGAAGGCAAGCTTCATAGGACCTCTGTCTAAATTGACCCAGGTTGCCATAACAAAGTGCCCCAGAGGCTGAGTGGCTTAAACGGCAGAAATGTATTTCTCACAGCTCTGGAGGCTGGAAGTCTGAAATGAAGGCGTGGGCAGCGTTGGTGCAGTGCCGCCTTCTCCCTGTGTCTCACGGGGTCTTCCCTCTGCACCTGGCTGCATCCTCCTGCTTTCCTAGTCTCATAAGGACACCAGTCATATTGCATTAGGGCCCACCCTAAAGACCTCATTTTACCTTAATTGCCTCTTTAAAGGCCTTATCTCCAAATATAGTTACATCAGAGGTGCAGGGAGTCGGGGATTCCATGTAACTTTAGGGAACACAGATTGGCCCATAACAGCCTCTCCCCACACCCACTGCACTTAGCTTCACAATGCACATGAGCACATCACTAAGGTATCCCCACAAACCATGACTCACAATGTCTAATGCTGTTTCCCAGGTACTTGACAACAGAGCACTTGTCTCCCAAAAGGCTACGAACGTTCCCCTGTTAACCAGGGGACACCCTGCTTAGCAGATGTTAAACTGCCCCTGTGTGGAAGCGGCCATGGGGTTTCTTCACCCTGTAATACAGAACCACTGGGCACATGTGGACATGGAATTAAAACTAGCTGGCCAGGCATGGTGGCTCACGCCTGTAATCTCAGCACTTTGGGAGGTCAAGGCAGGTGGATCACAAGGTCAGGAGTTCGAGACCAGCCTGACCAACATGGTGAAACCCCATCTCTACTAAAAATACAAAAATTAGCTGGGCATGGTGACAGGCACCTGTAATCCCAGCTACTCAGGAGTCTGAGGCAGGAGAACCACTTGAACCCAGGAGGCAGAGGTTGCAGTGAGCCGAGATCACCCCACTGCACTCCAGCCTGGGGGACAGAGCGAGACTCTGTCTCAAGAAAGAAAAACAAAAGCTAGCTAATTAGAAATCAGCCCCTCGGTGGTATCAGCTAGATAGTGGCTATCATATTGGCAGAGCAGATAGAGGACACCATTCCCATTGTCGCAGAAAGCTCTGTGCAGACCTTCCTTTCTGGAAGCCCCTCCCTTGACTTGCCTGCCTTGGACTTTCTCTGACCTGTCCATGCTGCCTCGGCCCCGTGGTGCAGCGATAAGGGTAAGGTTCTCTGGGTCCCCAGTCGATTGTTGCATTGACTGCTCCTGCGTCTAAGTGCTTCCACGCAAAACGAGCAGGCTAAGCAGCCTCCAGCACCCGCTCAGGGTGGCTTGCAGTAGTACTCCCTCAAGGTGCGCGCTGGGGCCGCGCAGGCCTAGCGCACGCGCTCTCTCTTGCAGAGGATCAGCACGGCCACCGGCGACGGCAAGCATTACTGCTACCCACACTTCACCTGCGCCGTGGACACAGAGAACATCCGCAGGGTGTTCAACGACTGTCGCGACATCATCCAGCGGATGCACCTCAAGCAGTACGAGCTCTTGTGAGGGCGCTGCCGCCACCCCGCCACGGAGCGGCGCCCGGGACTGCCTGTCTGCCGGCCCACGCCATGGTAGGAGGCAGAGTCTCTAGTTCCATCTCGCTGCCGTCTGTCCTGTTCTGTGTCGACCACCAAGCCTCTGGCTACCTCTGTCCCCTCAGGTTTGGTTGTGTAGCTTCTGTTGTCATTGAATACAACCTTCCGCAGCATCCCACCCCGAAACCACTGACTCTCACTTGCTGACACTGCAGCAGAATCTCTCCGGGTGGGGGCCCCTTTATTCATTCTCATTTATTGATTCATTGAGGAGAATCTGGTAGATGGGGAGAAAACGCGTTTGGGTTTTTTCATGTTATCAAGCGTTACTGCAAGAGGTATGTCCAGTGCCCCCAGTGCCCCCTCTGAGTTTCCCTTTATGAAGCTGCAGGCTGACAAGCAATGGTCCCTTCCCATCAGCCTTGGCCCAAGACTTAGAGTCGACCCCAAGCAACAGAGTGACCAGAAACCCTTTTACAGTCACATTTGGAGTTGCTGCTGGCCTCAGGCATTTGAATTACAGCTACTTTGAGCCTCTTACCTTTAGGCAGAAAACCTACCACATTCACTACTGCAAAAGTGTCCTGTCTAAAAATGATTCTCTAAACTTTCACTATATTTAGGCATAATCTTCTTAGATTCTCTTTGTTGTTGTCCTATTGCTGGTTTGTTATACTGTACAGACCACAAAATGTAACATTCTTTTGTATAACTACTAAAGAAAAATCCTTGTAGATCTTTGTGCCTTTACCATGGCTATCTATACCTGTACATGAAATGTGTTTGTATTGTGCTGAATAGCTTAATGTCAACATTACCTGCTGCTTACTCTGAAAAAAGGAATGAATGGTAGCTGTAGAATTTAGGATATTTTATCGGTTGGCACTTTATAAAATACTCCTTGATTTAAAAAATTGTAAGTTATACACATTCATCATCCACATTCTACCAACAATGTCGTACCAACATCACAAGCTGTTGCAACCACCTGCTCCTACTTCTCTGAGCTGTAAAAACCTGAACTCAATTCACTGGTACAAATTGCAATCTAATCTTTTCAGAGAACCAGGGATTTTCTTTTTCTCTCTCTCTAGACAGTATGTTTCCTAATTACTCTGCTAATGAAAGACTTCTTCAACTTCCCTAAGTGGGAACAGGGCAATGATTCCCTTAGTCAAAACTCTGGACACAGGCTACATCAGACAAGTAAACAAATGGCAAGAGAAAAACAAAACATGATGTGTCGACGTTTGTGTCTGGCCTAAGAGAGTAAGGATGACAGCTTCACTTGCCTTTTGAAGAAGAAACATTGCAAAACCTTAATTTGAAGTATAATGTCAAAAGATATGGCTCTTTCTCACCCTTGCAAGATTACAAATACAGCCTCAAACATTATGCACACAAACAATATCTAGAAAGTAGGAACTGTTGTAGTGATGACGTTTCACATACTATCTGTAGCCACAGTGTTGAGGGTAGTTTTTGTAGGTCTAAAATAATCTGTAAAGATGCCCAAAGTTAAATTTTCAACAAAACAAATCTAGAGAAGTGACAGCCTACATTAATTACTTGCCTCTCAGTCTTTAGTCTTTAATATTTTAAAGTTTACTCTATAAATCAGCATTTTGTAATCCTTTATAAACTCATCCAGATTTAAATGCTTTTTCATGAAGAAAGGATGACAACTTTGTAGACAGTCAGTGCCACACACACATTTTTATCTCATCACCATCTTCCTGCCCCCCCCCATCCACTGTCTCATAAAACCCTCAGCTGAACTAAGATAAATGCAGTGAGCCGGGCGCGGTGGCTCACGCCTGTAATCCCAGCACTTTGGGAGGCCGAGGCGGGTGGATCACGAGGTCAAGAGATGGAGACCATCCTGGTCAACATGGTGAAACCCCGTCTCTACTAAAAATACAAAAAATCAGCTGGGCATGGTGGCTCGTGCCTATAATCCCAGTTACTCAGGAGGCTGAGGCAGGAGAATTGCCTGAACCCAGGAGGCGGAGGTTGCGGTGAGCCGAGATCGCGCCATTGCACTCCAGCCTGGGCAACAAGAGCGAAACTCCGTCTCAAAAAAAAAAAAAAAAAGATAAATGCAGTGGAAATCATTTTCAGTTCCCCTTGCACTGTCAAAGTAAAACAAGAAAACTGCAAAGCTACACCCCCAGCAAGAAAAGGAAGTGTGGTGTTGTATGCATCACCACTCAACAATTACCCTGTAACTAAACATCCTGTTTAAGAGTTTAATTCATACAAGAGCCAGATTTTAAGAAAAAAACAAAAAGAATAAATTTTATCTGGCTTAAAATTATTAAAGCATTCATTTTCAAGTACCAAAAGCCACATCCCATTCCGTGCTTCAAGTCTCTTTTGATCATCGACAGACATTACCAGATGTATCAACTTGGTCTCCTATAGAGAAAATTACACCTATCTAAAAATCTGATCCATTAATCTATCAAGTACAAAAATCTACAAAACAATATGTCCTCCACATCACATCTGTACTTTTTTTTAAATATATTTTTTGAGACAAAGTCTTGCTCTTTCACCCAGACTGGAGTGCACGATCTTGGCTCACTGCCACCTCCACCTCCCGAGTTCAAGGGATTCTCCTGTCTCAGCTTCCCAAGTAGCTGGGATTATAAGCGATTGCCATCACACCTGGCTAATTTTTGTATTTTTAGTAGAGATGGGGTTTCACCATGTTGGCCAGGCTGGACTTGAACTCCTGACCTCAAGTGATCCACCTGTCTCAGCCTCCCAAAGTGCTGGGATTACAAGCATGAGTCACTGTGCCCTGCCACATCTGTACTTTTAAGGGTACAGCTTTACAGTACATAGGAATTTGAGAACCACTTCACAGGAAGAGGGAAACAAGCCCAATATTTATGTATACACATAATCTCAGTGTGTGCTGGGGTCACCAGGCCTTTCCTGGGGGAGCAAGGACTGTCGTGCATGTGAGTGATGACATTAATAGCATTTACATACTGTACAGATGCAACCTTTGATGATACATATATTTGATAAAAATGAGAAAACAGATATGTTGTAGAGTACCTGTCCATTTTTACAGCATGAGAACAGTACAATCAACTATTTATTTTGCAGTTACTCATTTCAGTGATTGAGAATTTCTGTGATGTGCAGAGAAACAGCCTATAAGGTCTCAACATCCACTTGATTCTAACATGATCTCTGCCCAAAGTTCCATTATTTGGGTTTTGATATTTATTGCTAAGTGCAAACGTCAACTGCTCTTCACCTTGTCTTATGCTTTCTGAGCAGGCTCAATCCAGAAAGAAAAGGTGAGGCTAAAAGCCCAAAGTGAGTGAGTGTGAGGACCATAAGGAAGCCCACCGCTCCACAGTAGATGATCAAAACCACGTGCTCACGTGGGAGGTAGCACTTGGAGAGGGCGTAGTCTGTGGGCGTGATGCTACCCTGGAAAGGAGAAGAGAAAGTTAAGCTGAGAGCACCAGACACAGGTTGAACACCACAGTCTTAGAAACTACAGAGGGAAGACTGCCTTCTCAGGTCCCCCTCAGGTGAGACAGGGAAGGGGCCCTCCTCACCTGAGACCAAGAGGGCCCGGCCTTCCTCCTGCACAGGTCACCCCCGACCAGCCCAGGCTCTGGCAGGAGAGACAAGGAAGGCCCAAGCGTGCCTGGGTGGAAAATGTCTGGGACACTGACCTCTCTGTCAAAACTGGCCCCTGGCCCACGGGGGTTCCCATCAAATATAGTAGGGGATCCATAACAGAGATTCAGAGAGGCACCGTGGAGTTCCAGGGTCATCAGTCAGCGAGGAACAGGAGGGAAGGGTGTCTTCCTGCCCCGTGATGCTCAACTAAGCAATCGTTCCCTAGAAACACATGTGTCTAGGTCATCTCAGTGGGCTTGTCTTTGCAGGTACTTTTATGTGGAATGACAGTGGCAAATGTTTTCATTTACTTTGAATCTTAAAATGTTAGGGCTTCCTCACCTTTTTATGAAGTAAAAGAACTTGACATACCAGCATCATGAGCTGGATGCAGGAGCCCATGGCTGAAAGGAGTTAAAACACCCAGTGGTCATTAACTGAAACATTTGTATCAACCTGCAAAGGCTGTTGCATTCTCTGCCAGGAAAAATGGACATGTTTAGAAACTAGGAGAAGATGGCTGAGTACAGCTAATGAATAAATGGTTGTTTCTTTAGAAAACTAAACACACACAGAGAGTAAGAGGAGAGGACATGGCCTTCCCTGAAGGATAAATTCCACCTGGACGGTGCCCTGCCCTCGTTCTTCACAGTAACCACCCAAGAATGTCATGCCGATTGGTTCCTGAAAGGGTGTTTGGCAAGGGGCAGTGTATGGACCTAAGTGTAGAGGAAAGGAAATTGTGTGGCTTTTGTAAATTTTTATAGATTGCAGCTATTAAATAGTTGATTACTGTGTTGATTTAAATACTTATGAAAGCTTTCAGACAAAAATAAACTTTCACCTTACCATGATGAAACTGGGGTTGTTTCTGTTCCTCCAACTGAAAGATGGGACGCTGAGCTCGGGGACTCGGCCCTCGTGGTGCACCTCGCAGGCGCTGTGCGTGTGGCCACTGAGGACCAGGCGCGGCTGGAGCCACCACAGCAGCTGACGGCGGCCGAGAAGACAGCAAAGCAGGCTGTTAGCTCACCCTCAACCAGGACTCTCACCGCCCAGCCGACGGCCGCTGGCCATCGCTTCTTTCATTAAATTAAATACTAAATCCTTGTGTTAAAGGACTAGTTCATTTTTTTCCTTAAAAATCCTTTGGTTTATTTATACTAAATCAAAGGTAAGGTCAGCCCCTTTGAATCTACTGTTCTCATCCCAGATTTTATATACTTCTTATGATATTTTATCTTTAAAAATATTTTTATACATTTTTTATAAATATTTCCTATATTGATATATTTTATATAATGTAATATGTATTATATAAATCTATATAAGAAAACGCCTTTTAATCAAGTCCCTAAAAATTTGACTCTAAGTTCCATTCACATTTCTAAATACATTTAAGTTGGTGAAAAACTGAATACAAAGAATAGCTGAGAATATTATTGAATTGAGGTTAGGAAATAGAAGTAGATTTACTTATTTAAAAAAAAAAAAAAAAAGAGAAAGCAATTAAATGAAAATCTGGGATACTGTCAAAGCCAGGCCTCCACCCCTGTCCCCAGGTGACAACTAAGTCATCAACGTTTCAGCAAATACCTGCTCTAGCCTGGGTGCTCTGCTTGCTGACATGCAAGGTGATGAGAGTCACACTGTGACATGAATTAGCACCACAACACCCTGGCAAACCTTTTGTGATGCCTCCCGAGAAAGCACATCGTAGTTCTCCTTAAATGGGATGTTCCTTTCCTCCGGAGGAGCAGCGTCTTCCCCAGAACAGTTAGCATCGCTTCTCCGGTACAGGGGGTAATGCTGACGGGCAGAGGGAGGAGTCAAGTGGCTACAGTGAAACCCTGGCTGCCTGCTGTCCGCCACGCGCCCCTTCCTCCCTGGGCTCACCTGCAGGAGGATGGGGGCAGACGTGGGTAGCAGAGGCCCAGGTCCACACTGGCTGGAGCCATGTACCTGCTGGGTACAAATCAGGCCATTAATCCATACACCTGACACTCATCAAAGGGCAGGGATGGCAGGGGGCGCTGAGTGAGCGAAAAAGTGGAGTGACATGGGACAGAAGGCACCTGTGGTGTTCAGATGCTCTCCTACCTCTCGGGAGCAGTTCAGTCTGTGAGAAACTTCAATGAGCTCTGCTTCTGCTTCAGAACAGATGCCACAGCTGTCCCCTTTCAGCGCCACACTGTTGACCATCACGAAGCTGAGGTGGAGGGGAGGAGGCAGGTGAGGCCACTGGGGGTACTGGTGCTTGGCACAATCTCGGCTCACTGCAATCTCTGCCTTCTGGATTGAAGCAATTCCCCTGTGTCCGCCTCCCGAGTAGCTGGGACTACAGGTGTGCACCATCACACCTGGCTAATGTTTTGTATTTTAGTAAAGACAGGTTTCACCATGTTGGCCAGGTTAGTCCCGATCTCCTGACTTCGTGATCTGCCCACCTCGGCCTCCCAAAGTGCTGGGATTACAGGCGTGAGCCACTGTGCCCAGCCATGGTACTGGTGCTTTCTTTCCCCACTGTTCCCCATGAAAAGAAAGCTAAGCATCCAGTATGAAGAAACAAGCCCAGAGCAGCTTTCAACCCCACCCAGAATAATTGGGTGTATTTTTAAGTATGAGTCAACATTAACAAAAATAGCATTACTGGGAGCTCAGTCCAAGACACGATCGAAGGGTTTTGACCCTAAACTTGTGAGAAATCCCAGATTACAGACACTCTGCAGTCAGACTATGTCTAAGCTCATCCTCTAACCAGAATCTCATCTGTTACAGTGTCTCATCTGTGCAGGGGGCTAAGAACACTCTGCCCACACCATCAGCTTGTTCTGAGGATTCAATGAATGACATGGCAGGTATTTAGAACACAGCCTGCCACTAGAAAGTACTCAGTACGTGTCAGATATTTTGACTACCAGGTCGAGGGAGCCACGGGACACATCAGTGACATACGGACACACACAGCAAGTAAGGCAGAGAGTAGGGTGCTGGTTAGAGCTAACTGGTATTACCCAAACTAGGGTAATAACAAAGTCCATTTTGGTTAGACTCAGCAGCCACCTGTATGTTTTATAGACGCTCACTAAATGTGCTTTTATTTCCTACACGCATACCATCTTGGAATGGCTAAAGTACCTGTCAGTAAAGACTGCTTGAAATTTAACTCGTTTGAGAGATAAGGAGTGGAATTATCAAGTGATAGGCAGCATAATAAGCTAAAGTTTCTTAAACACTATGCTTAGAGGGCAATAACTCAAACTGTGTCATGTTTCTATTATGAGTGAGTCAGCAGGGGAAGCCACCTTCTAGAGACTCTGCCCTCCTGGCAGAGGGAGGGAAAGGTGACCATTGGTGATGAAGCCACTGGACAGAGATGACCTCATCTGCAAACCTGCTGTGGCCAAGGTCAATAGAGTGCCGGGCACCCACAGGAAAGACAGGATTGAAAGAGAAAAGGCTTCTACTCCCATCTGTTTAATCTCCACCGTGTCTATAAACAAGGTATAGAGTCCTGTCCACTGTGCTGCAGCCACGTTCACAGCCCAGAAAGGATCCAGAGATGGGCACTGATGTGGCCTCGCAGAAGGGGAGCTGGTGTTCACGGTCAGGCTAAGGGTCAGGGTGCTCTGGTCTAAAAGCTCAGGCCGATGGGGTTGGGTAGCACAGAGGTACAGAGGCACTGTGACACACTTACCACAAAATCCCATGACACCATACTATGGGAATAGTCTTTGTAAAGTGAAAGTAGTAAATTTTGATCAAATAAAAGAAAGACTTTTTACAAAGTGGGCTCATGAAATTTGCAACACCCAGAGACAGTGCAGATAGAATATCATTCCCACAGTGGCTGGGCAGTCATAAACTGACCGATTCACTGTGGGGTTGTCAAGGAAAACCAGGGTGCTTTGAGGTTTCCCATCTATTGGCTCCCATGATGAGCACCAGCAAGGACAGCCTGAGGCACTGCTATTTAAAGATCATAAACCAGGCTAAACAGAACACAGGTAGATGATCCATCCCAGCATGGCAGGCGCCTTTAAAAAATGAAGCTTCCAAGGACTAAAGGTCTTGGAAGAATTTACAAATAATACTCACTTAATGCCTTTCCAAGAAAACAGTCTTTCAGAGCTGAACACTTTCTCAAATCGTTTCACTTTGTATATATTCATCCTATATTCAGTTGTAAAAAGAAACATTTTTCAGGACAAGCCATTTTAGAAACTCCTAGAGTTATCACGAACACAAAATAACTTTCAGGACTTGAGTTTCAGACTAGCATTATTACTTAAGCTGGCCCCAGAATATCAAAGCTCAAATTTTAGTTCCACTACTTAGTATGAAGCCTGGGGCAAGTTACTCAGCTGCCCAGGGCCTCAGATTCCACATTGGTGCCCTAAGTAAAAGAACAGGACCATGGTAAAGATTAATGTGTTAAAATATGGAAGTAAGGCACTTGAAACAGGAGGCATACATATTATAAGCACCAGAGCACTATATAAATGCTAGTTACTAAAGTCTAAATGATCTTGTTTTTTCATTCCCAAAGAAAATAATTGGCTATGAAATGTACATTTCAAGTAGATGTTTCCCAAGGGCACATACAATTCATTCATTCCACAGGTACTTGTTGAGGGTGTACTATGCACCAAGAGTAAAAACCCCTTAAAGGCTTTAACATCACAGAGCTTACATCTTTTGAGGAAAACAAATTTCAAGATGGCACAAATAGGGCTTTCACCTGAATTCCAGCAGGTTTAGAATTACCGTTAAGAAGAGCTCTCAGGGTGCAGTGCTTTCCTGAATTACTTACTCATAATGAAAGCCAATGTCATGGTTTCCAGCAACTACCTTCAGCTGCACATGACTTGGGTGTCTGAACATTTTCTGAAATCGAGCCATATCGTCTGCCCAGGCCTGAGGGAAAAAGAATCACTGCTGGGAGCCAGAGAACCCTCCCTGCCCTGTGGCTAAGAAATCGTGATCCCTATGTTGATGTGAGAAGCGAATGAATTCCCCTGTTCAAATCAGATGTCCATAAAGATAATGTAAAACTTTCTTTTTTCTTTTTTTGAGGCAGGGTCTCACTCTGTCACCTAAACTGGAGGGTAGTGGTGCCACCACGGCTCACTGCAGCCTCAACTTCCTGGGCTCAAGTGATCCTCCCACCTAAGCCTCCCAAGTGGCTGGGACCACAAGCACACACCACCACATGTGGCTAATTTATTTTTTGTAGAGATAGAGTCTTACCATGTTGATCAGGCTGGTCTTGAACTCCTGGGCTCAAGTGATCCTCCCACCTTGGCCTCCCAGAGTGCTAGGATCACAGGCATGAGCCACCATCCCAAGATAAACTTTGAATTTTTAATTCCATATAATACGTCTTTTTCTAAGACTACAATTAATACTTAATGTTATTTAATTTGATGCCAAGTTTTTGTTTTATTTTGTTTTGCTCAAGTGATTCTTGTGCTTCAGCCACCTGAGTGACCAGGATTACAAGTGTGCACCACTATGCTCAGCTAATTTTTATATTTTTAGTAGAGACAGGGTTTCACCATGTTGGCCTGGCTGGTCGCAAACTCCTGACCTCAAGTGATCCACCCACCTTGGCCTCCCAAAGGGCAGGGATTGCAGGCATGAGCAACCACACCCAGTCTAATGCCAAATTTTTAAATGGTATCCTCTTCCATCTTAAAAGAACAACTGGCAATCCCAAAAAATATTTGGTTCATACACCTATTATTTCAGGATCCCATAAGGACCATTCATAGAACCTGGTGGATAAATGCTTCAGATCTGGCCATGCCATAAGAACAGGCTCTTAGAAAACATCCAGCAAGTTCTTCATGTGTCTCAACCAAGACGAGGATGAGGACATCTTTAAAAGCGGCATTCCTGCCAGGTGCGGTGGCTCATGCCTGTAATCGCAACACTTTGGGAGGCTGAGGTGGGTGGATCACGAGGTCAGGAGTTCAAGACCAGCCTGGCCAAGATGGTAAAACCCCGTCTCTACTAAAAATACAAAAATTGGCTGGCCATGGTGGTGTACACCTGTAGTCCCAGCTACACAGGAGGCTGAGGCAGGAGAATCACTTGAACCCAGGAGGCGGAGGCTGGAGTGAGCCAAGATCGAGCCATTGCACTCTAGCCTGGGCAACGGAGCAAGACAATGCCTCAAAAAAAAAAAAAAAAAAAAAAAGGTGGCATTCCCCTATGGGTGCAACTGTGGAAACAAGAATTAATGAGATATGAGAGAAAGAAAGACAAAAAAATACTTATTGTAACAAATATTTCAAAATTATTCTGATACTTGCTTTAACTATTAAAACTTCAGAGTTATGTTAGTGTAGTTCTTATTTTTATAAGGCTAAAAATACCAATTGCACAAACACCCTAGGGTAGGGAAAAAAATGAAAAAAAAAAAACCTCTATTCTAAATGATAACTAATTTTATCCTAAAAGTTGTAAATCTGGCAAAACCTAGGGAAATCTGCTAAATAGACAGTCCTTGAAAACATTTACAAAGATTCCACTTTAACAAATAACATTTAAAGTTAGATGTCTGGGTGCAGCGGCTCACGCCTGTAATCCCAGCACTTTGGGAGGCTGAAGGAGGCAGATCACTTGAGGTCAGGAGTTTGAGACCAGCCTGGCCGACATGGTAAACCCCTGTCTCTACTAAAAATATAAAAATTAGCTGGGTGTAGTGGCAGGCGCCTGTAATCCCAGCTACTGGGGGAGGCTGGGGCAAGAGAATCACTTGAGCCAGGGAGGCAGAGGCTATAGTAAGCTGAGATCACACCACTGCACTCCAGACTTGGTGACAGAGCAAGACTCCATCTCAAAAAAATAAAAATAAATAAAGTTAGAGTAACATAAAATCAGAATAACAGACATTGTAAAACATAAAATGTTGCCCTGAATCTGGAAATGCAACATATCTATCCAACCTCATTTTATAACTAGTTTGGTTTTTTTTACATATAACATTTCTACTATCTCACATTTAATTATAGCCTAGATTATAACAAGCATTGCACTCTGTAAACAGTGGTTCCTATAAACTCTGAACCAAGACTTCTCTTGTGCCGCTACTGAATTACCCTAGGAAATGCCAGTAAAGTTTTTGGGTTTTTGTTGTGGGGTTGTTTTGTTTTTGGTTTGGTTGTTTGTTTTTCTTGATTTTTATCTTTTTTATTTTTATTTTTTATTGTACTTTGGGCTCTGAGGTACATGTGCCCATACTGCATCCTGCAGGATTATTGCATAGGTGCATACATGCCATGGTGGTTTGCTGTCTCCATCCCCCCATTTCTCCCAGTGTTATCCCTCCCCAACCTCTCCGCCCCCTGCTGTTCCCCCACCTAGCCCAGTGAGTGTTGTTCCCTTCCCTGTGCCCAGCTGTTCTTGTTGTTCATCACCCACCTATGAGTGAAAACGTGGTGTTTGGTTTTCTGTTATTGTGTCAGTTTGCTGAGAATGATGGTTTTATCTTTATTTTTTGAGACAGGTTCTCACTCTGTCACCCAGGCTGGAGCGCAGTGGTACACAGCTCACTGCGGCCTCCACCTCCCAGGCTCAAGCAATCCTTTCAGCTCAGCCTCCTGAGTAGCTGGGACTACATGCACACACCACCATGCCTGGCTGATTTTTGTATTTTTTCTAGAGACAGGGTCTCACTATGTTGCCCAGGCTGGTTTTAAACTCCTGGGCTCAAATAATTCTTTCTTGGACTAGGTCGGGGGCAGTGGCTCATGCCTATTTTGGGAGGCTAAGGTGTGCCGATTACCTGAGGTCAGGAGTTCGAGACCGGCCTGGGCAACATGGTGAAACCCCATCTCTACTAAAATACAAAAAATTAACTGGGCGTCATGGTGCCCACCTGTAGTCCCAGCTACTCAGGAGGCTGAGGTAGGAGAATCACTGGAACCCAGAAGATGGAGATTGCAGTGAGCCAAAATCACACTACTGCACTGCAGCTTGGGTGACAGAGTGAGACTCCATCTCAAAAAAAAAAAAAGGCCAGGACTTTTGGGAGGCCAAAGAAGGCAGGTCACCAGAGGTCAGGAGTTTGAGACAAGCCTAACCAACGTGGAGAAACCCCATCTCTACTAAATATACACAATTAGTTGGGCATGGTGGTGAATGCCTATAATCCCAGCTACTCAGGAGGCTGAGGCAGGAGAATTGCTTGAACCCAGGAGGCAGAGGTTGCAGTGAGCCAAGATTGCACCATTGCCCTCCAGCCTGGACAACAAAAGCAAAACTCTGTCTCAAAAAAAAAAAAAAAAAAAAAAATCCTCCTGCCCTGGGCTTCCAAAGTGCTGTTACTATAGGCATAAGCCACCAGGCCCAGCTATGATGAAGTTTCTTCAAGTCTACCCCAAATAAAATATTTTCAAAAACTATTAGTGAGTGAACATTTTTAAGCAGCAAGATAGCACCTGGGATCTGAGACAGCCTAATGCAGCTTCCAAAGATGCTCAATGGAGACTGATTTTGTACCACACAGAGATGATTGTATCTAGCTTGTCTTCATTCATTGTGTTCCAAGGATGTAATAAGCAGAACATTGTGACAACTGAGGTGAGAACAGCTTTTCTCTTTGGTTTGTGGCAAGTCTTACATTACCCCAATACCCAGGCAGGGGTCTCAGGCCCTCCTAAAGGCAGAGGAACCTCACACCAAGTCCCCAGGGCTCCTTGTGCATCTCTCACTCAGAAGAAAGAAAATCAGAGGAGACTAGCAAGTCTCTTTTGTAGCACAATTCTCATAACGTCGTGATTAAGTAAGAGTGTGAAATTAAGTGTACATTTCACTATGTATTTTGCAATTTCGGTGACAACTGAAATAACATCTATCTTGCCTGTTTCTCCCTTTCCCAAGAGGTTCACAAAACAGTGTATTCCAACCAAATGTCTGGCTAATCGACATATTTCCTGCATGGACAAATGTTTAAGATTAGCCAACCTGCCAGGCGCAGTGGCTCACGCCTGTAATCCTAGCACTTTGGGAGGCCGAGGTGGGTGGATCACCTGAGGTCAGGAGTTCAAGACCAGCTTGGCCATCATGGAGAAACCCCCAACTTTAAAAAGAAAAAAAAAAATTGAAAAAAAAAGATTAGCTAACCTAACTCAAGATTGGGTTGTTATAAGAATCTTCGATAGTCTATGAATTCCAAGAATCTTCCAGATAGCCTACCCATTTTTAATATCAGTAGTAAGTAAAACTTCCATAAAATTTCCAACTGAAGCTGACATTGCTTTGTGGATTCTCTGGGCTACTTATGCTGGACCTTGAAGCAGGATGAGGGCACCTGGATCACAGAGTCCTACCTCAGGGGTGCTCCACTTCCCTTCATCAAAGACATCCCCCAGGATGAAGACGACTTCCGGCTGCAGCAACCACAGAGCTGTCTGGAAGGCTCTCTCCATCTGCCATTCCCTTGCCACCAACAGGAAAAAGTAAAATCAGTCTCTTTCCTGGGTGGAGGCTACTTCTGTATTACACGCCATTTAAACAGCAAACTAAATGGTCCCATTCTCCTTCTTCTAGGGCCTACTCTTGCATTCCCACCCCGTGCTTGAAGGGCCAAGGAGTCCACATCTGACTAAAGGTGGGGAATTAAGTATCAAGGAAGAGTCCAGCCATCCCTCCTACACACCCCAGACACCGTGGTGTCCAGGAACAGGCCCCACTCTGCATGCACCCTGCAGCCATTACTCGGTCAAGGTAGCACCTGGGATCTGAGAGAGCCTAATGCAGCTTCCAAAGATGCTCAGTGGAGACTGATTTTGTACCACACAGAGAAGATGATTGTATCTAGCTTAATTTTAGCTTCTTCTTAAAGGGACTTCAACTTCCTTCTTTGCTTCCAAGGTGGAGTGGAGATGATGACAGAAATAGGCTAGCCAATATCAAAACAGTAAATCCTGTAGATTTCAAACATACAAGTAATCCTCCCAGTGGTAAAACAAGCAAATGAAAGAGCCTGGAGGCGAGGAGTAGTGGTTCACGCCTGTAATCCCAGCACTTTGGGAGGCCGAGGCAGGCAGATCACGAGGTCAGCAGTTCAAGACCAGCCTGGTCAATACGGTGAAACTCTGTCTCTACTAAAAGTACAAAAAATCAACTTGCTGTGGTAGTGCACACCTGTAGTCCTAGCTACTCAGGAGGCTAAGCCAGGAGAATCACCAGAACCTAGGAGAGGTTGCAGTGAGCTGAGATTACCCCACACATCAAAACACATGCCACTGCACTCTAGCCTGGGCAACAGAGTGAGACTCCATCTCAAAAAAAAAAAAAAAAAAAATGAGGAAGAAAAGAGCCTGGGATCTGCAATCTGACTGATAATGGCTTAACATCCCAGCTTGATCCATTGACAAGTTGTGTGCCTTTGAAAATATTGCCTACTCTCTGATTCCCAGTGTCTTCATTGGTAAACGGGGATTTTAAACCCTACTTGCACAGGATAGTTACGGGGTTAAATAAGACAGCATTTGTAAAGCATGGCAGGGGCACACAGCAAGTGTTCAAAATGTCCGTGCTTGCTCAGCCCTCCCCATCTACAACCTAACCAAATCCAGCCTATATCATTTTCCTAAGGAACTCAAAACTTTCCTCCTTTTTAAGGCATTTTCCTGGCTGCTCCTCCTCTACAAAAGGGAAATGCTATGTCCTAGGATATATAAATAGGGGAAAGTAGGCTGGGTGCAGTGGCTCACACCTGTAATTTCAATGCTTTGGGAGGCCAAGGCAGGAGGATCACTTGAGCCAGGAGTTCAATACCAACATGGGCAACACAGCATAACTCCATCTCTACAAAAAAGTAAAAATTAGCTGGGTGTAGTGGCACAAGCCTGTTGTCCTAGCTACTCGGGAAGCTGCAGTGAGCTATGATCCTGCCACTGCTCTCCAACCTGGGCCACAGAGCTAGACTCCATTTTAATTAGTCAATGTAATTTCTGGTCAGAGGAAGATTTTCAGATCCCAAGTAAACTACTGTGTGGTACACATCACCTCTGAAAGGCTTTTTACCCAAGATCTCTCTCTCAAAATACATTTCTCCATTTTTCTTATTTTATTTTACTTTTTTTTAGAGATAAGCTCTTGCTCTGTCACCGAAGCTGGACTGCAAAGCCATGATCATAGCTCACTGTAGGCTCAAACTCCAGTGCTCAAAATAGCTCAAGCAATCCACCTGCCTCAGCCTCCTGAGTAGCTAGGACTACAAGCGGGTGTCACCATGTTCAGCTAATTTTTGTGGTGTTTTTTAATCATTTTTTTTGTTGTTGAAATGAGGTCTTGCCATGTTGCCCAGGCTGGTCTCAAATCCCTGGCCTTGTGCAATTCTTCACCTCCACCTGCCAAAGTGCTGGGATTGCAGGCGTGAAGCACTGCACTCAGTGTCTCAGTTTCTCTTGATTTAATGTTATTTGCCATGGAGAAGTAAGAATCTAGAAACAGCCACAGAAAGAAGGCATAGAAGGCTACTTGGAGAGACCCAGACATCCATCAGGGTCAATTTGTAAAACCAAGACACTGCAGGCCAGGCCCCCCACCAGCCCTTCTTGAACTCAAGCCTCCTTTGGTAAAACTCTTTTTTTTTAAGACAGGGTTTCACCATGTTGATCAGGCTGGTCTTGAACTCCCAACCTCAGGTGATCTGCCCGCGTTGGCCTCCAAAGTGTTTGGATTACAGGCGTGAGCCACCGCACCCGGCTGGTTAAAATTCTTAGTAATAACGTACAGCTGCTTCTTCATTCTTCTTCTTCTTCTTTTTTTTTTTTGAGATAGAATTTTGCTCTGTTGCCCAGGCTGGAGTTCAGTGGTGCAATCTCAGCTTATTGCAACCTCTGCCTCCTGGGTTCAAGCACTTTTCCTGTCTCAGCCTTTGAAGTAGCTGGAATTACAGGCATGTGCCACCATGCTGAGCTAATTTTTGTATTTTTAGTAGAGATGGGTTTTCACCATGTTGGGCAGGCTGGTCTCAAACTCCTGACTTGTGATCAACCCACCTCAAGCCTCCCAAAGTGCTGGGATTACAGGTGTGAGCCACCATGCCTGGCCTAAAAATAATTTTTTTAAAAAGCTTCCTAGTGAAAAAACAATGGACCATGCAGGAGCAGGTTGAGTTAGAGAGACAGGACCTGATCCTTCCCCAGGGAGACAGCCACAAATCTGCTCTGCTCCTCTGCTGCCTAGAGGAGGCTAAAACCCAATAGGCTCAAAGTTACACAGCAGTGACAGTAAGACGGGACCACCAACCCAGATCTGTGCCCTCACCTGCCCAGGGGACCGGTCCCAAGCACCAGGCATTGCATGGCATCTTCTTGTCATTGAGTGGCACATCTTATGATGTTTCTTGTCTTGTAACTCAGTTACAAGCAAGGAGGCAGGGGCTCAGAGGGACCCTAACAACTTGTCCAAAGTCACAAAGCAATGTGGCCCAGACCTGACTCCCAAATTATGGGGCCCTGTATTTATCCTCAGTAAATGGTAAATTCAAGGAAAATTCAAATGTCCCTAAATGTCCTTCTTTGAGAGGAAAGTAAGAGTAACCTAAAGCCGTCTTGCTATTAGGAGAGGGCTATACTTTTTGCCTACAGAATTTTAGAAAGATTCCTGATTTTACCTCTTACCTTCGTAATTTGTCCAGCCAGTGGCCTAGGAATTCCCCAAGCAAGTGGGTGTCAGCCAGAAACATAGCTTTGAGCACAGGCTCACGTGTGGCTTGTTCACCATCATCGGCTGTGGGTTTCATTTCAGGCCACTTACACTGAAAGATCACTAAGTAATAGATTAAAAATTCACAAAATAGAAGCACAGCAAAGACAACAGCTATGAGTTTCAACAGCAATGAACTCTTCCTCTTTAATGGATGAAAGTTCCATCTTCCAAACCCCAATCCGATCCTAGCCATTTCTCAAGCAATAGTAAATCCATCAAGGGTTCACCATGAGAAAACTGCAGAGCCCCAGGCAGGGTGATGGCATTCAGGTCTTAGCTGGGTATCTACAGGGAAAAGGAAAAGAATTCAGTTATATTCCCTAATAATACCGGTATCATCACCTCCCTCTATCAAGAACTAATGAGTTACATAATCCTATCTACATTCCCAAATTAATTGCTGCTGGGAACAGGCCCTAAGCCTGTCATAAACAGGCCTTAAATAAACTGGCCATAAGCAAGGTATCTATAGCACTGTGACCTACTCATGATGGCAGTGACACACATTTCTGGAGGTTGTTGGTTTACTGGAGCAAGGCAAGAGATAGGCTATAGACAGTGGCATTCTACTTGCAGGTTCTTCAACTTGCACTCAAGATGAGAATCTGAGAAGGGCGATGACCTTTCCAGGGAGGGTATAAGGAGCTCAGATGTCAGAGAGGCCCCTGAAGTCTTGTGGAGTGGGAGCTAAGAGAGACACTGACCAGAGATCCTAATTGAACCAACAAAAAAATAAAATCCTTTTTTAGGAAGATGATTTTCTAACATGAATCTAGGACCTTCATGTCACTCATAGGCATGAAGTCAAGAACCACATCGTTTCCCAGGGTCTAAAATCACCTCTGTGAAACCCATCTTCAGAACTCTACATTTGTACATGGAAATTAAGAATAACCCCCATTCCTGGCTGGGCACAGTAGCTCACCCCTGTAATCCCAGCACTTTGGGAGGTAGAGGTGGGTGGATCTCCTGATGTCATGAGTTCAAGACCAGCCTGGCCAACATGGTGAAACCCTGTCCCTACTAAAATACAAAACTTAGGCTGGGTGCAGTGGCTCAAGCCTGTAATCCCAGCACTTTGGGAGGCTGAGGCAGAGGTCAGGAGTTTGAGACCACTCTGGCCAACATGGCAAAACCCCATCTCTACTAAAAGTACAAAAATTAGCTGAGTGTGGCGGTGTTCGCCTGTAATCCCAGCTACTCAGGAGACTGAGGCAGGAGAATCGTTTGAACCTGGGAGGCAGAGGTTGCAGTGAGCCATGATCGTGCCATTGCACTCTAGCCTGGGTGACAGAGTGAGACTCAGTCTCAAATAAATAAATAAATAAATAAAATAGAATGACCCCATTCCCTATAAGAGTCCCTAGCTTGTTTTACAGTGGTGTTCTATAATCAACCATTAAGACATGGAAAAACTTTAAACTTTACCTAAAGAAAAATAAACAGGTGTGAAAATGTACTTTGAGCCATTATCAAAAGTTTAAAACCTAACCAAAAAATTGGCAATACCGTCAGAAATTGATAAATGAAGAAATCTTATCATAAGTATTCTAATGGAATATTGGCAATGTGTATGTGGTACTATTAAGTATTCATTACTATTTCTGGCTTTTCAGAAGATGAAAGGGTAGAAAATGGTGAAATGGATGGCCCTGGGGCTGTCATTCCTCTGTCTCATTCGAATGGCATTACCTATATTAAGTACTTGATTTATATTTTATTTTTATTTTTTTGAGACAGAGTTTCTCTCCCATCACCCAGGCTTAAGTGCTGTGGTACGCTCTCAGCTCTCTACAACCTCCACCTCCCGGGCTCAAGCAATCCTCCTGCCTCAGCCTCCCGAGTAGCTGAGACTACAGGTGTAGGCCACCATGCCCAGTTAATTTTTGTATTTTAGTAGAAATGTGGTTTGATCACGTTGACCAGGCTGGTATCAAACTACTGGCCTCAACTGATCCACCTGCCTTGGCTTCCCAAAGCACTGGGATTACAGGCGTGAGCCACTATGTCTGGCCTAGGTACTTGAATTAAAAGGGAACAGCTGGCCTGGCATGGTGGCTCACATCTATAATGCCAGCACTTTGGGAGGTCAAGGCAGGTGGATCACCTGAGGTCAGGAGTTCAAGACCAGCCTGGTCAATGTAGTGAAACCTCATCTCTACTAAATACAAAAATTAGCCAGGCGTGGTGGTACATGCCTGAAATCCCAGCTACTCGGGCAGCTGAGTCAGGAAAGTCACTTGAACCCAGGAGGTGGAGGTTGCAGTGAGCCAAGATCGTGCCAGGGCACTCCAGCCTGGGCAACACAGTGAGACTTCGTCTCAAAATAAATAAGTAAATAAAGAGGAAATGGCAACAAATACTGGATATTAAACATGTCCTTTCAGACAGAGAGGTCAAAAGCAGCCTTGCTTATCATCTGGAGTCAACCGCTCTTGCTGGAATTCTCCTCCAAAAACCTACGTCTTTATCAGCTGGTCAAGCTGTACTTTATATGCTTCACTTAGACCTTCGTCATCTCTGTTTTCTCTAAGGCAAACCACACATGCTGCATAACTGTAGTCACCACATACCTTTATCTTCCAACTGGTGACAGCTTTGAGTGAAAAATGTCACTAATAAAAATGAAAACAAGGCAATGGTGTGAACCAGGACTGTCTCAGGCAACTCAGGGCTGGCAGCCACCGTCTGCTGCCCATGCTTACTCTGACACAGAGGAGAAGCAGCAGTTCCTGTTTGCAGTCATCCACCTTATCTGCAAGAAACTTTGGAATGATTGCACAAGTGTCAGGAACCATGCACCAGTATGGCGAAGGGCATGGGTTCTCTGCTAGAGAGGCCTCTAAGGGATAAGGAACATGTTCCTCAACACCATCCAATTTCCTTTGTTTTGATTAAATCAAATACATCAAAGGCAACTATTCGATCTTAACATCGCATTTTCTTTCAACAGGCTTAGAATCTCCTAAAATCCTAAAAGCTAAACCCAAAACCATCATTGAAACTTTCTAACACTGCATGTTTCCTCCAGCTGTGCAGGACTAGTTGAGAGGGAAGGAATGTGACCTTCTGGGGCAGGCTGAGGAGTCTTTCAGTGTGCAAACCTTTGCTGTTTTGTAGGTTTCTGGTTTCCCAAGATGAAATACCAGAATGACAACTTGATAATTGCTCTTCTACACTCACTTCTTTTCATCAGAGTGGGGCTTGTTTGAGCAGTTATGACTAAGAGGTGCAAAAAGCATCAGTGAGTGGTGAGCAGGCTGGAGACAAGACGGGCTGACAGCCCGAAGTGGAGCTGAGGGCAGGATAGGATGCACAGCTACAGTCCTCCAGCTTCCCCTGATGAAGAGAGGAGGATAGAGGACACAGAGGCGGCCTATGGGCTTGCACTTCCAGACAACCAGGGCTCTCCCTGCCCCAATTCCCCACTCAGCCCACTTAGCATTACTCCTTGCTGGTAAGCCACCTGCAAGGAGTGTCGCACTGCAAACAAACTGGTCAGAGGAGTTCTGGCCCTTCTCTCAAACTGCCATGTTCTTGTTACAAGTAGTTAGACAGGCATGAGTTGGCCAGGTGAGGGCTCTTCCCACCCACCTGGAACGTCAAATGATCACCAGGTAACGATTCAACAGTGATCATATTGCCTCTCTAAAAATGATTATTTAGCAGCCAGCACCAGGGAGACACAATCTCCTGAGGGTCCACAGCTGACACATTAAAGTGTTAATTAAATGCAGATGGCAGGGAGAGGCAACTTCCTGAGCATACCCATCAGGAGACAAAATGGCAGAGTATGACCTTCTGGGGGCACTCCACCGGAAAAAGGAAGAAAGCCTCAGGTGGGCATGCGTACAACTTCCTAAACACACTGCTCATGCTCACCTCCCAAACATAAGAAGCGCACCGCACACGCAGCCAGCCCACTCCAAGGCAAGAACCATGGGGAAGGGGTGCAAGACGCTGGACTTGGGCCAGCCTATAAAGTCCTAGGATCATGTTAAACACTGCACTTAACCTTCACATTGTCCTCTTGGGTCTCTTCCAAGTGTATTTTTTTCTTTCCTGCTCTAAAGCTTTTTATAAACTTCCACTCCTACTCAGAAACTTGCCTAAGTCTCTTTTTCGGCCTTATACCCCTCAGTGGAATTCTTTCCTCTGAGGGGGCAAGAATTGAGGTTGCTGCAGACCTGTACGGGTTTGCCAGCAGTAACTCAAATACCTCCTACTCCTGACATTCTTTTTTCGAAAAGGGAATTTAAAATATCCTATCCAAAGCCACTCAACCAGAGAAAGACTTGGAAGGAAAGAAGGCAGAAGGATAGTAGAAAAAGAAAGAAGAGTGGAAGGGGCTGGGGAGGGAAAAGGGCAGAGAAAGAGAGAGCAAGAGCTGGCTGGCACTGTTACATATTTTCCTGAGAAGGCCTAACCATGTGAAGAAGGAGCTATCTGGTATAACATGGTATCTATTTTTTTTTTTTTTTTTTTTTGTCAAGGTCTCACCCTGTCACCCACACTGGAGTACCGTGTTCCCAGCTCAGTGCAACCTCCCACTTCAGCCTCTGGGGCAGTTGAGATTACAGGTGGGCCACCACGCCCGGCTAATTTTTGCATTTTTCATAGAGACAGGGTTTCACCATGTTGCCTAGGCTGGTCAAGCAATGCTGGCTCAAGCAATCCACCAGCATCGGCCTTCCAAAATACTAGGATTACTGGCATGAGCCGCTGCACCAGCCCAACATGATCATTTTTTAAAAGACGAGAGGCTGTACCGGGCATGGTGGCCCATGCCTGTAATCCCAGCACTTTGGGAGACCAAGCAGGTGGATCATTTGAGGACAGGAGTTCAAGACCAGCCTAGCCAACCTGGTGAAACCCCATGTCTACTAAAAATATTTAATACAAAAATTAGGTGGGTGTGGTTGAGTATGCGTTTAATCCCACCTACTGGCAGGCTGAGGCAGAAAAATCACTTGAGCCCAGGAGGCAGAGGTTGCAGTGGGCCGAGATCTTACCATAGCACTCCAGCCTGGGCAACAGAGCGAGACTCCATCTCAGAAAAGAAGAAGAAAAAAAGATTACAGAGCAAAAACCTATTTAGAAAACGTTTGACAGTAGATCCTTAAACAGAATACCTTTTAGGCAAGTGGCTCACATCTGTAATCCCAGCACTTTGGGAGGTGGAGGCAGGCAGATCATTTGAGGTCAGGAGTTCAAGACCAGCCAGGCCAACATGGCGGAAACACTGTCTCTACTATAAATACTAAAATTAGCCTCGTGTGGTAGTACACACCTGTAATCCCAGCTACTCAGGAGGCCGAGGGAGGAGAATCACTTGAACCCAGGAGGCAGAGCTTGCAGTGAGTGGAGATCAGGCCACTGCACTCCAGTCTGGGCGACAGAGGGAGACTGCCTCAAACAAAAACAAAAACAAACAAAAAAACAAAACACCTTTCCTTCCTGCACCAAAGACTCATTGAATTAGCATTCCCAAGGTCGTTATGGCCAAAACATGCCCCCTATTCCCACCTGAAATGAAGACAAAATAACTTGGAGGGCCGATAGGGTCGGTGAAGAGATTCCTTCCCTCTCTAAAAATGGCACCAGCATCAGATAATGAGGCGTCACTGCTATGAACGGCTTGCTTCCCAACAAGTATAAACTGAGTTGTTTCACTCACTTGCTGCACCAAACCTTACCCCAGCCTCCTCATTTTCTGCCTCCCCATTTTCTGACTCAGCTGAAGAAAACCTGTTAACCACCAGCACCTGGGAGCTCTGCAGACACCCCCCACCCCCCAACCCCGTGGACCTGCACAAATGCAGCCCTACCTTTTTGTCAGGAAAGAGGAAAACCTGAGAGCTCTGTCAGGAGTTAGCCACTTGTTCCTTGGTGAGTATTTTATTGCATAAGCTGTGACACAACCAGCAGAGACAGCAGCTATGCTGAACTGGAAAGTACCAAATGGCAGC